CCGGGGAAGACGCTCACCAGCGCCTCACGGCAGGAAGTACGAGACCAACTGGCCCGCTCATCCTTGCCTCGCCGCACCATTCGTGGGGCATTATCGCTGCACTGGAGCTTCATGCGACCCTACATAACACAGCGGTAAATGGGGAGCTTCTCTATCGCAACTATGGGCTGGCTCAGCTCGGCCTCTGCCTGCAGTTTCATGATGACACGGTCACTGAGCAGGATTTCTAATATTGGTGGGCAGTGAATAGGGTTCCGCCAATTTGCGATGCCTGCTGTTTGCTCGGGCATGTGGGGTTGCCTGAGATGCCCGTACAGCTGCTTCTTCGAGGCATGGACTTTTCCATCACTGGCCCGGCAGGTCAGCCCTGCACCGTTCGACCATTCCTGCCGGTCTTATACACGGAGCGACTTTGCTCGGACGACAAGAAATGCCAGCTTCTTTACATGCTTCCCGACTCGGCTATAATCGAGCGGCCGGCTGAGTTTCAGCGCCTACTGGATTCCTGGCCACCCAGAGCTCCCATCGAACGAACACAGTGAGCGACCGTCGACATACGTCGTTGGGTCTGCTGCCACAGGTAAGCTTCGTTGAGTAGCACTGCTTGCCTGGACCAGTGGCAAGGCTGTCGTTGGAATTGCGCTGTGGCGCGTCTGATGTTTGTCGGCTGGAGGTGATGTTGGTTGCATCGACTCCTGGCCACATCACGCTATTGTGCTCGATTGCCATTGGACTTTGGACTTCTGGACTTTCGTGCGCACGATCGTTTGGTAGCAAGGTTGCAGGGACTGTCCGTTGTCGGACGCGACGAGAACGGCAGTCGGAGTTCTTGGGTTTGGAGCTCCACCTGTTGCCTTGGGCTGCTTGGGGTGACGACCCCTTGTGGTTTCCATTCGGTGGCTGAGAGGGCTGTAGTTTGACTGAACGGCTAGCGCCGGCTAGGTCTGCGTGCCGCAGTCTTTTGTTTTCCCTCCTTGTTTCACCGCTGTATTTGTTGCTTGTTCGTGTTTGTTTGTTTGTAGGGACCGAGTGCTACAGCCGTAGCCGACGAGGCCCGCCCACGCCAAAAAAAATGAGACCTCGCTGCTGGTGACTGCCAATAGCTTTCAGGTCACTGCGAACTGACTGCTCCCCACGGTGGATGACAGCTAGATTGCCGTGTCTGAGGCCTTGCGGCTTTCGAACAGACCTTGCGCTGGATCTAGTCGGCATCTGCCGGCTTCGAAGCTTCATGACGTGAATTTTCACGCGAAAATTGAAAGTCTTTCTGTCTTTTTGTTTGTAGGGACCGAGTGCTACAGCCGTAGCCGACGAGGCCCGCTCACCCCAAAAAAAAAGAAAAACTGAACGTCTTTCTGATTTTGGCAGCCTTTGCACCTCTCAGATGTGCAATGTAGAAATTGGGCACGATTCTTGGATGAGCGATGTGTTTTGCGTGGCTTAGTCTTCCCTGTGGCATCTTGGGGTTAAACCACACTAAGCAGATGCGGGTCTGATGATGTGTTCCCTGCTTTGGCCTTGGTGTTGTTGCACCCACTGCGAAGAACTGGAATTCCAAACGCTTCAAACAAATACTTCCATCGAAGCCGTGCGGGAGATGAGTTTTTGAAGTCAAGAGGTGGACTGCTTCAAACATGTGTATGGTTATGTAATGCAGAAAGCAAAGTGCTTCCTTGTTTTCTGAAAAACCAAACTGTCACCAGAAAACCCAAACGTGCAAGTTTTTGGCCTAATACGCGTGACACAAAACGAAAACCCAAGATGTGTCTCATCGAATGTTCCAGTGTTGAAACTTTGAGTTTCACCAATGAATCTTTCAGGGCAAAAACTCCACACAGCCAAATGAGGTTTGGTAAGGCCTTTAAGGTTCGATTGCAAAATGGGAAATTCGAGTTCGGGGTGTCGGGTTTGGGGTGGATTTTTTTGTGAGGCAAACCCACACGACGTACGATGCATGTCCAGAGCATGCGCTACAATCCTACGGCTCTTTACTTTGGACCATTAGACCCTGTAACTTCGAAGAAGACAAGACGTCCTAAAACTCTAAAGCTCCAAAAGCAACAAGACACACCCTTACCGCTTGAATTCTGAACTCCTCAATCTTGAGAGCGAAGCGAGTTTCGAGAGTCGAAAAACGATGCCTTGCACGCTCATGCCCCGAATCGACCCTTCCATCTGGATATGGAGCGAGATGATGTAGAGGGCAGGTGTATACCTGACGTGGACAAAAACCTTTCGTGAGGGGCATATACTTTCTGAGCTTGAACAGTGTCCGAGAGGCAGCCAGCAAGCTTGCAATTGCATGAAGTCTCAGCATGTGTGTTGACTCTCACCGGGCATTTGTTTTGAGCACGCTAGGTTTTGGCCCAGAATCAGATATTGCTTACCGGTTATCATGCACCCGCCATTGTCACGGCAAGTTCGAAGTTCCCGGAACAAGCTTGGCAACAACTACAAGTGTTGGAAGTAGCTGCATTTCATGCCACTGTTCCTGTTCTTGAGGCTGGCTGCAAGTACTTTTGACTTCTTTTGTTCTCAATGCCTTCCTGAACCACCTGTGATCAAGATGAAGGCTGTAACCTTTCGTGTTTTGGGTACGTTGTGAGGAAGTGTGCAGAGCAGTCGAAGTTCTGGGAAGCTGAGGTTTGATGTAAGCTGTCGTGCAAAAAAAAAACTTTGTTCCTGCAAATTGCCTTGTCGTTGTCATGTCAGCAAAATCACGACGGGCAGAAGGCAAATACACCCAAAATGCCACATTCTACAGGTCCAAACCCTTAAGCCCTAGAGCTTTAAGCCCTGCCGGCCCAAAGCCAAAGTCAACAGACGTACAACGGCTTCAGTGCATCGGTGTTGGAACCATCATAAAAGCACCGCTTTCTATGAACATAAATATGAGAAACACTTCCTACAGCGCCTGGTGAGCTTGGCTGTGACTGAAGCATTTTCCGGCTCTGAGCTGAGCCCCCAAGTCTGCTGTAGGGTACAAAACAGGACGAGCACGATGTCGAAGCGACGTTGCTTGTCTGTAAACCCTAAACCCTATACCCTAAGCCCGAACCCATCAAGTTCACAATTTTAGGGTTCGGACTGTAAGCTTCAAGGTTTAGGGCAGATTTTCTCCGGCAGCAGGGTGAGAAATGCAAGTGCACCCCTTTTAAGGGTTCGTTCTATCAGGGTACTAGAAAGGATGGACTTAGAGAGGCACTGCACATCTTCATCCGAATCCGTTTGCCGCAGACGTTCAACCCCTCAACCTTGTATCATGGCGATCTGAGATGGTTCTCTACATTAGCGCAAGTTAGGGCGCCTCATTCTTAAAGTGACGGAGTCTCTCGGGTCCTAAATGGCACCCGGATGTGGAAATCCACCAACATTAATGGAACAGGGGAGGAGTCTTCCGTGTGTCCAGGAATCTGCTTACCGGATCAGGCCCTGGGGTTTGAAGCTTGGGCCTTATCTTCGGGGCGGGCCCTCCCCTAAACTGCAACCCTAGTCCCTGCACCGCTGCAACCCTAAACCCCGCAACCCTAAAACCCTAAAGCCGTAAAACCCCAAAATCGTAAAACCCTAAACCCTAAGAACTCTAAACCCTGCAACCCTAAAACCCTAAACCCTAAACTCCACACCTCTGCAACCCTGAAAGCCCAGGCTGCCTTCCCTTTCAGATTGGGGAGATCAATTGCGGCCTGAACCTGCTATGTCAGATCTCTGGGACCATGGTGGGCCTCATTGGCGCCATGACGCCGCTTCGCTCGCGCATTCTTTTTTGGTGGGTTCAGGGCTTCGGGTTCAAGGCTTAGGGTTTAGGGGTTTACGATTTAGGGTTTTACGATTTAGGGTTTGGGGGTTAGGGTGGAGGGCTTAGGTTCGCGGTGGAAGGTTTAGAGTTTACGATTCTCGGCGAGAGGTGAAACTTTGGATGGACAATCATGCAAAGCCAAACTAAAAAAATCCTAAACCCTAGACCCCTGTCTATTGAAGAGCCTAAACCTTTGCAGCCCAGGGTCACAGTTCTCGGAGATTTGTGTCGCATGATACCGAATGCTGCGCCAGGCTTAAACAGCACTAGCCGGATCGTGGAGAACATTTTTTTGTAACATAGGTTTTGGCGAGGCTTATTGGCTTGTATTAGGTGGAGGTTTACTGAGGTTTTCATACCGTGTTTCATGCGTGTGTATGCGGGTTCCATCAGGTTTTTACAGGGGTTAGGGCCAAGGATCTGTTGCAGCTTGCCACAGCGGTTCTTTCACGGGTTGAGGACTCAGGCTGTAATTAGGTTACTCACAAGGGTTGTTGTTCATCTTCCATCATCGGCTTAAAGGAGAATCCTCTTGAGGCATATGTGCAAGAAGCTTGATTTTCTCCAGGCTTCTGGTTTGGAGGCCATGAAGTTTTGGCTTTTTGCATCGGTTTCGAGTAAATCCTAAACCTTAAAACCCTAAACCCTAAACTCTAAACCTTAGCAGTTTCAACATCTATGAAGGGTCCATGAGCCCGAAACCTTACCACTTGGTCTTACGAACAGTTGGGAAGCTGCGAACGGTTGAGGCTTCACATCTACGTCCAGGGTTTAGGAATCGTTAACAGTCTGAAGGCCGAACGGTTTAGGGTTTAGGGTTTAGGGTTTAGGGTTTAGGGAATGTATTCATTGCTTCTTTTTTCGCGTCAAGATGCGTTGATTGCCTGTGATTGCCGGTGCAGAGCCCTTCGTGACCCGTCACTTTAAGTCTTAAACCCTAGGCCAACCGCCTACAACCCCCCCAAAGCGTCAACTCTCGCGCTGAGTCCTGAACAACAAGCCACAACTCTAAAGCCGAAACCTAAACCAAGAATCAAAAACCAAGAACACAGAATCCACAATCCTGAAAGCCTAAACTTGCAGCAAAGGAAAGTGATGTTTTCGCTATAACCCCAACTCTGAACCCTAAAACCGTAAGACCCAAACCCTAAACCCTAAACCCCAAACCCTAAAAACTTTAAGCTTGCCGCAGAGGAAGGTGATGTCCGCGCCCTTCAAGGACGCCAGCGACCAGCACGAACTCAATGAGTTTATCATCGAGGTGCTCTATGGCAAAGTCGCTGGGGTGGCAGTTTGGGTTTAGGGCAATTTGGAGTTTTAGGGCTTAGAGTTTCGAGATTTTTAAGATGGGCCTTCGGGTTTGGGCGGTAGGGTTTAGCCTTGTTCCCTTGGTACTGGTGGCTGTAATGAGCAACCCAGGTAATTCCTGGCATGTGCATCACGATGATTTTCGGGAATTTCTACTATGCGTGGATGGCGGTCCGGCTTATGCGGAATCTTGGTTCTGGCTCAGCACATAGTGTAACGCATCATAACAGGGAGCTGTCGTAAGTTACATGCTATCCTTTTAGATTTGGATCCCCAGCGAGAATCCAGGAAAGAAGGGCACACCAACGTGTGCACAGTACCATATGGCATCAACACGCCGGCCGCGTTTGCATTTGTCTTTAGCATCGTGGCGAAAGCGGCAGAGGCAGCAGCCAGCAACTGGGCTTCATTCAGTGAAGTTTGGAGTAGTTGTAGTAGGATTTCTAAACCCTAAACCCTAAACCCTAAACCCCAGTGACACAGGGGATGGCATGGACTGGCGCGATGGAGTTATGCACGCATGGCGAGTTGGCTGTGTCGCCAACCTCGTCAGTGGTGTTGCTTGGCAGGGGATCATTGATGACCTGTCTTCTTAAGACACATTGGTTGCCAGCGCTGTTAAGCAGATGTGCAGCATGCGAATGTGTATGTACATGTATGCAGACAGATATCTTGCGCATGTATATATGGAAGCATGTTTGCATAGATAGACAGGTCAGAGAAGGATCAAAATGTCTCCTAATTATCGGTCTGGTGGGTAGGAATTAGGAGATCAGTTTCGCGATCGTTGGAACAGACTTGATCTATCTTCTCCGTGGCCATTTTGGCGATAGCCGATCGGGCCATACCGAAAAATTCGGCGTCGGAGGTGGAAGTGAATAGGCTCGCTCGATTGCAGCCATGTCGTTCCCTCCCGCTGGCTTCCATCAAGGTCGGCAGATGGCGGCTCCGATGGCCCCACAGTTCGGGTTGCCTCGCCGGCTTGGTCAGCCTGAGAATCCGGGTAACTGGGGACACTACGTTCCAGGCGAGGCAGAGGCTCCCGAGAATCCCGCGGCTCCAGCTGCCGCATCCGGCGATTGGGGCTCTGGAGGCTGGGGTCGCGACGATCGTCGTGGACGTCGTGACCGTGGGGCTCCTGCTGCTCACAACCCCTTCGCTGTTCAGTGGCCTGAGTTCGTTCGCCAGCTCGTGGTCGAGGAAGAGGACGAGACCCAGAACTCGCTCCTCGTCATCGACAACCGCGATGAACGGGTGATCTCCCCGTTCCAGAACTGGCTGGCCGAGGAGATCATCTCGAATGCCGCCAGCTCGATCAATGTGCTGACGGAGCGGGACTCGGTCATGCCCCCGAACTCGGGCTACCACTGTTCGCTGTTCGCGAACTATACGCTCGATGGCATCAAGGCCGTTCTGCTCTTTTCGATGTCTTCGAAAACAGGGGGACCATGTGCTCAGTGGGACTCCTACGCGAGTCGGGCGCTATCGCACCCGGCTTTCCAGCCCTTCACTTGGCCGGTGATGTTCGATACCTCGGCCACCTATGTGGATGTGAAGGTCTTCAATGGAAACGAGGTCCTGTTCCATTGGGTCTTCAGGGGCTACCGCTCGGACTCGGATCTTTCTGTCCAGCAGCAGTTCTGCGACGAGGTGTTGATCCGGTCAGCCAACGAAGGATGGTTCCGACCCTCGATCGTCATCTCGGTCTTCGTTGGATGGAAGGTCTCCGTGACCTCGTTCGAGGTTGGAGCCCGAGTCTACACGATCGGCCCGAGAGGAGCAGTGATGGCGAGCGACCATGCCATGAGCACTTGGTGACAGAACGCTCGTCCCGAGAAGGCTATGGGAACGACGCCGATCGTGTTGAGTTTCGGTTCCGGGACGCCAGTAACCGGATCGATCTCAAGTGTGGGAGGACTTCGGTGCCTGGCATGTGGCTCACAGTCAGCCACATCTCGGGCCCCGCTCTGATCAGCACGATCCAGGCCTGTCGGACCCAGCGTGCTCGCGTGGAAGGTCCAGACCACATCCAGCAGTTCGCGCAGCTGTCTGCGGTGATCGCCCCCTGGTACCACAGTGCGTTCGCCAACGAACAGGTGCAAGTGGGAACTGCGACAGACGAGTTCCCGATGGATCATGGGAACTTCCACGTACGGGCTAGATCTAAGCTCAGGGTCTGCCCACTGGAGTTCGTCCGGCAGGAGGCGCTCGCCCACCGGTCGCACGATGAGAACAACGCCGTTCGAGCTCGGAACGGCCCCCCGGCTCTCATGGAAGAGGCGGCTCGGCAGGCGGTTCAGCAGCTGGGCTCCTCGGTCACTTCGGCGATCACCAACATGCCCACCTCGGCTCAGCAGGTGTTCGACCAGAGGGTGAGCACTGTTCCGGTGCCGGAGGAGGGCCAGCTCGGCCAGGAGCAGATCGCCGAGGAGGTCGTCACCGATGCCCGCGATCGCATGAGGGCCGACATGCGATTCTCGCGCACGTCGGCTGCGATCACGCCTCAGGTTTTCACCGACGTGCTCCAGCACCGTGAGCAGGCGGAGTACGAGCGGATCAGCACGGTCAGGGTGGAGGAGACGGGCCAAGAGATCACGGCTTCCCCCTCCACTACGACCACGGTGCCGAAGGCGTTCGCCCCGGCTTACCCGCCGGCCAGATCGTCAACGGGGCCCTACACGATGGACAATTCGGAGTAGTTGTCGATCGAAGCCTAGGTGATGGTCGGTTTTTGTGCACGCTCCTAAGAGAGTGGTGCGCCGCGCGACCGAAGCCTCCTGGCGGATCAGCCGGGCTCTTCCGCGGAACAAACATGCCGAGCGATCCTCTCGGCGCGCTAGATCCCAGCGCATGTTCTGCCGGAAGTGAGATTGATCAATACCTGTCTCAGGCACGGCGCTCGGTTACCATTAGCAGGCACGTGCGATCGTTCGTGCAGCTGTTCAGGCCCAGCATGGATAGGTCCGTTCGGAAGATCCTATCCCTCCCCCTGTTCGGGGATGAATTTTGCCAATGGTTGGTGGATCTTCGGATGGCTCAGTTCGAGAAGCTCACGGCTGTTTCGGACGGGACGATCGCTGAGTGTGTGCAAGCATTCATTGATCTTGTCCCTGCCCTCGAGGAACTCCACACGCCAGATCGGCGGAAGAACGAGGAGGAGCTCGGCAGGTGGGTTCCGTCGATCGAGCTGTTGTTTGTGCTGGTTCGTAGCACGGCAGCAGCGGGCTGGGCTGATCTGGCCACTGATCTGGGATTCGGCTTGGCTGAAGCTCCGGTCGTCTTCGGGCGATCGCCACTGAAGTCGAAGGGGACTGGCAAGGAGCCTCCTATGCCATTGCCGCTCGCCAAGAGGCCGCGGGCGATCGAGCCGAGGCCTGAAGATCCGCAGGCATCGCTCAAAACCCGTGAGCTCGGCGAGGCCCGAAAGTGGGGCATGAGGCTGAAAGCGATCGTGGAGAGGTGCGGCGAGCACGCCGCGATCGCGGGCAACCCGAAGCCGGGATCACCCCTGTCTCAAGATGAGATGAATGCATTGAGGTTGATCGTCTTCGAGAGTGGCGGTTTCCGCACTATCCAGCAGTGCGTTCGTCACTGGGAGAGGATTGAGACTTGGGCGAGGTCGCAGAACCTAGTGGTGATCCCGCTGACTACCGACGTGCTCGTCAAGTACCTCTTAGATCTCTCCGACCGAGGTTGCGGCCCCACCGTGATACCTTCGGTACGTGGGGCGGTCAAATGGATCTGCAAGCGGATCGGCTTGTCGTTGCCCGACCTCCTCGATCCCCGGATCATGGCCTTGCAGAAGAAGGTCTATGGCGATCGCGGGAAAGAGACGAGGGAAGCGGTTCCCATCCCTCTGATCTTGGTGGCGGCGCTCGAGCGGTTCGTGTGCGCTCGTTTTAAGTCGAGCCAATTCCCCATGGCGTTCTTCGCATGGTGGGTTCTCGTGATGATCTACTCGTCCCTCAGGTTCGACGACGCGCTCCACGTCGTGCCCGAGGCGCTCGCCCTGAAGGACGAGGCTCTCTATGGGGTGGTTTGGCAGACTAAGGTCGAGCGACAAAAGAAGGGAACGCGGTTCGCGGCGGCCAGAGTCTCCGTCTCCGGATCCGACTGGATGGAAGACGGATGGCACGCAGCTGCGTTCGAAATGGACGATCGCGACTACTTCATGAAAGAGCTCGAATCGGCTGAGCGATTCGCCGATCGGCCTGCCAGCTACCAACGGAGCATCCTGTGGCTGCGGTACGTGCTCACTACTGCAGCTTCGGACGATCTGAAGCGCGGGCACATCTCGCCCGAGCGGCTCAAGGAGCTCCTGAAGATCGTGCCGGAGATCACCTGGCACTCCTGCCGAGTCACGCTGCTCTCGGCGGCGGTCCAGGCGCAGGAGCCCGATAAAGAGATCGGGCTCCAAGCGAACTGGAAGGATCCAAGCCAGCTGGTCCTGAAGTACGCTCGGAGCCGCAAAGAGATCTCGATCGAGATGGTCAAGCGGCTCACGAAGAGGATAGCATCCGACTGGAAATCTCCACCGGAGTTCGAGGCCGACGATACCAATCTGGTCGACTTCGGTGATCTCGCTCTGACCTATGTCACCAAGGCTAGATCGGCTGCGGGGTCCTCAAAGGATCTGAGTCTTAAATATCATGCCATGTATATAGATGGTACGGGCACGGAGCGAACGCTCTGCGGCCGGTACGCGATCACCGAGTGCGAGGATCTCGGCGAGATTCCGCCGAGTACTCAGATGTGCTCGTTGTGTTCCGGTAAGATCTTTACGGAGCCGTGAACACAGCTGTTCGCAGTCACGATGGCCACTCGAGCTGAGCCTCTCCCTGACCGTAGCTTTTCTTTTCAGACAGCTCGTTAGGCAGCCATGGTCGATCGCACCGCATACGCGAATGAGGCGGCGACCCCGAAGCTGAACCTGCGCCAGATCTTCGGGAGACAGGGGCTAGATCCAGCCCTCTGCAGGCTCTCGGCCGACAAAGGTCTCCTCACAGTCGAGATGTTCGCAATGCTGGGGCAGGATCTCACCTCGGCGAAGGCGACAATCCGTCGGCTGTGGCAAGATGACTTGACCCAGCTCGGGGCTGATGCGGCAGCACAGGAGCTCTCCGTGATGTCCTTGGCAGCGGTGTGGCAAGCTGCTCAAGCGCTGCAAACGCAATACGCCTCTCGGCGAGCTCGTATGGAGGAAGACCCGAACAAGATCCCGGAGCTCTCCCAAGAGGACCACG